GCCTTATAACCAAACTGGTTATAAAATTTTTATTTTTTTTTTTTTTTTTAAAACAATTTTTAAAACCCAAAAAATTTAAACCGCAATTGCCATTGCCCCCCCCCCCCCCTGCCTCCGAGGTATCGGGGCGCCCCTGGAATCACTCATACATACCACATAACGTTGAGTTAATGAGAATTCTTCATCTTCACCAGTTAGGATATGTTTTCTTGCATATTCAACTTTATTCCAAATCTTGAATAACAACATTTTTGATTATGAATATATTTCGATACTGTTCATCATTACTCTGTTTTTACCATGGCCCATTGTATTTCTTCTACCTTTGTTAAATCAAATTTTTTTTCATCTAATTGAGCAATTGCTTGTTTTTGTTTTTTCAATATACTCTGTAGCAAAGCATCGGCAATGGCATCTTCCAGATGATGTCCTTTATGAGCATCAAATATAACAATTAAATTTTTATTTTTGCGTAACATTTCAATATTATCTTCAAGTATTTTATTAGCCTCCTGTGTATCAACTCCGGTTTGTCCATTAAAGGTGGGACTTAACGATTTTAAATCTTTGATTATCTTTTTATAATCTTCACCATGAACATTTTTCATATTATCATCTTGAAGTTTTTCATTCAAATTGAATGCTTTAAATACTTTTGTTAAGATTGCAGCCAGACCTTCGGTACGCTGTAAACGCAACAAGAGGATTATATGTTCTGGAACGACGGACAATAGAAAAAACGTACTTTAACAATAACAATAGGTGTGCCGGCGTTTATTGCCTTGCATAAAGCTACGAACGACCAATAATCGCCACCAATTAATATCATTACAATTGGTATATTAGTATAATAAGCTAAAAAACACAAGAACAGCGGTACCTCGATGCATGTCATTCACTTCCCTAATTGAATAACAGTTCACTGCTACCTCTCGTAGGATCACGTGGGCGTAGATTTGTACTGAATAACTGTTCAATTTTTGTACGAGCTTCTATAACGTTTTTTCGATCTGATGTGTTATCATCAAATAATAGAAAATGTGTATGATTTGGTTCTAAATCACAGTTACGAAACAATGTTTTGTCTAAATTACTGCGATTTTCTTTTCTTGGATATTGCTTAATATAATTTTCAACACAAATGGGTGATGACGGCAACTGGACGGATTTTTCCTCAAAAAACAACAAAAAAGAGAAAACGTTTCGTTGAACAATGTCACATTTTGAACTGGTGTGGAAGTTTCTCTTCATTATTTAGCACTGAAATGAAAGCCGTTCTACAAGTTGTCTTTGTTAGCCCACAGTCCCTAGAACTCCTTTTTCCAGGCATATATTCTATATAAGGAATGTTTTGGAACTTCCGTTTTTCAGGGCAAAACACGTTTTCAAGATATGAATAAAACACAATTTCACGGTAAAAGTGGTGCCGCGGAAATTTGCAAACAAGGTCTGTCAACATCGCAAGTTGTGCGAAGCTCAATTGCGATCTATTCTTTATTATTTTCAAAGAAAATAGAATATACTTGTTCGATATTTCGTGTTTTTGAGTTTAAGAAAGTGCCACGCATTTTTCAAACCGAAATATCAGCCAGATTTGTAACAGCAGCTACTGCAGCATCAATAACTAGACAAGAGGTGTCCAATCTACGCTGTTTCAGTCGAATCGTCATCCAAATTGGGAAGAAAAGGACGGAAAAAACATGAAAAAAGGATGTAGCTGTTCCATGACGCAAAAGGCTTCTGTTCTTGAGCAGAGAGGTTAAGGATGTTTTCTTGAAAACGTACCATGTTTACATTGACTTTACCCCAACAGTTCGATAGTAATAAGACTAGTACAATTCGAGCTCTTGATAATGAATATCACGTTGAACAGATTTTAAAACAATGGCGTCATGCTTTAGACCTGTGGGGATCCCATTCATTAGCGGAAAAGACCTTTTCTGGGCATTTTCATCATTTCTCAACGAAACACTTTCATAAGCTGGTACTTTCAGATTAGAATCTATATGTGCAGCGCTGCAAAATCCCTAACGGACAAAAGTTCCAAAATGTTAAGCATGTGCACAGATTTTTTAAAAGATCGCTAATTAATCGAATTTGTGTGATCGATTTCGCGAGTTTGCTGACACAATATACCCCGAGTTGTTTCAGCACAAAAGAAAGAATTTTTTCTATTTGTTGTGTTCATGACAGTCCCAGCGATAGTCGTGAGAAACATTTTTAGATTTTAGAGAAAACAAAAGTATACTTTACCATTGACAACGTTGTTGTAACAGGTGGTACAATGTCGGCAAGTAAGTCATTATCTAAATACATACACAGTAAACGTAAAAAGTTTGCTGAAGCAGAATCAAAAAGCCCAAAGAGTACAAGCCGTCGTGAGATTGCCAAACAAAAATACAAAAGTAGGGTTTACAAAGCTCGTTCGTTATCATATCATACCTGCAGTGTATCCCCAACTACAAAAACCAATACAAGGCACATCGACACCATAAGTATCATTTGTCAATGCTTCACCAACCCACTGAACCTTAGCCCGATTTAGCCCTGCAGTTGTTACCCAAGCGTCTATAGAAGGCAACAGAAAAATTCCGTCAGGTCAAAATGTAACTTTGTCTTGATTGCTTATACTTGTTGTTCTTGCCGCAGTAGCCAGTCCTGTCATTAATGCCTGTATAACTTTTTCATGTATATTATCATCTGCCTTTCGTTTGTAATCAATACCACCTGTTGTATTGATCGATATAATTAAATCTGGAACGGGCAAATTATATCCGTCTTGTGTCAAAAGAGATAAGATCTGTTCGGGTGGCGTTTTAAGTGCCAAATGAATATACTAGAAAGAAACCAAGTCCTTTGAACGCACTGGAACAAAGTATTTCATTCCTGTACCGGACATAATCGATTGCTTTTGCTTGATTCATAAATAAATTGAATAAAGCCAAATTGGTCTGTGATTTGACTAGAAAAAATACCTGACGCAGTAAGCCTCGATCCTTTTCATACAGCAGTTGAGTCTCTCATTTTTTCAGTAAAAAAAGGGCTGACAGAAGTTGTGCTTTTCAGCAAAAAAAGATGTAATATTCATGTTCGAACCACCGTCCGTATTGTTTAGCTTGAACAGTCATTTGCATAGGTCTTAGTGCTAGTGGCAACTACTCAAATGATAACTCTAAAGATTGATAATGAAGTTCCATGAGAACTGCTTTTTGGGCATGGATGAGTCAGCCGAAAGATGAGCTCCTGGGAGAGTAACATTTATTCATGTAATAATATTCTATCGAAACGGAAACAAATCAATGTTCTTCTACTAATTGTCGAAGATTGTTGACTGTGAAAAGGCACAAGACGCAAACAAGCTCAAATGCATCATAAGTAAAGAGTTTTCTCTTCTTCTTTCTTTACTCTTAGAAATAAAAGCCTACATCAGTTCAACTGAATATAGAGACCGTCGGTTATTGCTATTTTGCCGCTATATCTCTATTTTCGCCGCTGGAAACCGCAAGTCTTCTTCAAATGTTTGTTGAAAAAATAACCATGGACTATTCTTTTTTTGAAATAGTTAAGGCTTACTCGTCATTATCGGACAGTCGAATTTCAGATCCACGTTTTTTAACGAGCTGAAAACAAAAATAAAGTGGCTTCACACCATACAATGAAAGAAAATATGATTTGATTAAAAGGGAAAATACTTTAATGAGGGTTTGTGCTTACATTTTTAAGTTTTACAATCACATCTTGCAGTTTGCTGTTCATGGTGACCGAATCTAATAGGCGTCGTACTTGAGAAAATTGATTGCGGCTAATTCTGTAATTCTTCAAGCAATCTCATTTGTTTTTCAATCTTAAAACGAGATCCAAATGGTTGACAGAACCCTTCATTAACTTAAGATCATCAAAAACGACGTTGCCTATGCACCAGAGATCCGAAAATATCATATTCTGAATAACCCCTAGAAAATGTTAATACCAGCTTTTCACAATGGATCCCTAAGAAGGTATTCGATTTTTCCCCAAACACTAAAATTCATTTTATCTTGTGTCGTATAAGTTTCTTTTAACTAGACGACCTAACAGCTGCATTGACTCAACAGTTAGTGTGACAGCCCGCTATTGTGTATGATGTGCGTTCGATTCGCAAATCTCTAGTGATATTCCCGTTCCATTCTTGCTGAGATCTGATCGCGAACCCGATTTTTTCCCGTGTAACGAAAAAATGCTGATCTTGACAAAATAAAATCGCTATCTTATAATTGGTTTTGCGGTAGTTAATGAAAATAGACTAACTGTTTGACTATTGTCAGCAGTAAGCACACAACAATTTTCGAGAGAGAAGAGCATTCGGATAGGTAAATTAAGTTTTTTGTCTCAAAGTTGAACTATTTTCTTCTTGACAGTTTTAGAATCGAAAGAGAATATTCTTTCTCGGACAACGTATCAAATCTAAAGTCTTCTCCGGTGTGTAGGTTCAGTTAAATATGTTGACTGTGCAGAGATCTTAGAATGAAAAGTCACAACAGTGAGAGAAATGCACAACGTTGAAGTATCACAAATTGTGGGTTACCTCAATGTAAGATCGCTTTGCCGTTTGAGTCTTTCAGATGTAGCAACAATCATTTCGATCCTATTTGATGCACAGAGGATAGCGGCACAGCCAGAGCACCTCAATCACAGGACACTAGATTGGCTCCAGCAACTTACTGTTCCGAGTGCCAAGTATCTACAGATACACATTCACTGGAAGTTCAAGAGTGAATGTTTTCTTCACATATGGCAAACGTTATCTTATTGGCACAACTCACAGATGAAAACAGAAAGACAGTCCCTCTCACTTCTATTATGAGATCCAATAGCAGTAACGTTTCGAATCAGAACTGAAAAATACACCGATGAAGAAGCTAAAGATACATCTGAGATGAAACTTCTCACCGTCAAAAACAATATCGCACTTTACATGAGCAAATTAATAATAGTTCAACTTTGTCACGTTAAAATGAAATGGAGCTTATAACTCAAAAAACAAAAAAATAAATTGCTGTGTACTCTGAAGGTGTTTTAGGAGAAAATCTGTAATTACTTCATGTTCTCGAAGAAAATACCGAGTAAAACATGATGAAATTTGGTGGAAAAGAGATTAAACCATCGAAAGAATGTCGTGACAATCAAATAAGTGGTAGGAAAGCTTTCTCAGCCAAATTTTCGCTACACGGAAAAAATAGCAAGATTAAGTACGCTCTCAAGTATGTTAAGTTTCAAATTTCTTGTTAAAATCGCGGCAAGATGAAGCTGTATTCTTGTCGTGAAATGAAACGGGAATGCTACTAGGTAATCCGACGTGCTCTTTCTTTTTTTCAAAGGTTTGGTATGAAAAAACGCAGAACACTTTCGAAAGATGTTTAAAAAAAATGTCTGACATGGCAAAAGAATAGAAACGAGGTTGTCACATGCCGGTATGTCTCATATCTCGCTGGATGCAAAAATGTTAGAGCTTCAGTTAAAATCATCGTTTTCTGGGACTGACTACTCGATAGTTAAGAGAGATATCGGAAAAAGAATTTCAGATGTGTCATATAGAGTCACGTTAAAATGAAATGGAGCTTATAACTCAAAAAACAAAAAAATAAATTGCTGTGTACTCTGAAGGTGTTTTAGGAGAAAATCTGTAATTACTTCATGTTCTCGAAGAAAATACCGAGTAAAACNAACTCAAAAAACAAAAAAATAAATTGCTGTGTACTCTGAAGGTGTTTTAGGAGAAAATCTGTAATTACTTCATGTTCTCGAAGAAAATACCGAGTAAAACATGATGAAATTTGGTGGAAAAGAGATTAAACCATCGAAAGAATGTCGTGACAATCAAATAAGTGGTAGGAAAGCTTTCTCAGCCAAATTTAGAGCAAAATGTTAGAGCTTCAGTTAAAATCATCGTTTTCTGGGACTGACTACTCGATAGTTAAGAGAGATATCGGAAAAAGAATTTCAGATGTGTCATATAGAGCACTTAAAAATTTTTCCCCGCTTATCCGCCATGTAACGATGTCGAATAACCGAGAACGACTGGTTCACTTCTTGATCAAAAGTATAGAGGCGAGGAAGACGAATAATTCTGTTCAGGTGAAAAGCAATAAGCTTCTAAGCCAATAAGTGCAAAAAAAGTCCTCAGTTTATGTCGGTATGCCCTTCCTCTACTTGCCTTTCACCATTCGTTTTCGGCTCTCTTTATACTGGAGTACTTTCCAAGGTACAAAGTTGTATATTCTTTTGGTTAACTAATGTTTTCTTTTCTACATACGTGACAGTTATAAACAGAAACCAAGGACGTTTTTTTATTCGAACGCTTTTGAAGAATTGGAAAGAATTAAATTATTTAGTTCAACTTTTGCCGTTCTCGTTCCTCTGTTGAGGAAGTAAAAGAAAGGAAAAAAAGCATCTTTTCTTTGTGGAATGATATTTACGTACGGAAAAGTAAAAGAATCACTTACAATTTCATTTCATTTTATTAAACAATAATGATGACTAGCGTGCATCTTAAACCATACATTCGTTGCATAGTAACACGCAGCAGGCGTAAATTAAATGAGGTATTACTTGGTTCATTCTATCATCATTGACTCACTACAAAACGTAACAAAAAGTGTTTTATAAGGTAGGTATGTTTTTTAGAAAAATATGAAATACCTGAATTCTCTGACGTTTGTATGTGTTCAGGTGCTTCTCATTTTGAAGATATATACATGCGTCACAACTCACGTCCTAATGGGGGTTACTCATAGAGAATGAGAACGTGAATGCTGCTAGTACTTGCCGCACATTATAAATTTCTTGTTTTATCCCACGAGAGACGAGGAGAACCAGACGAGCGGATCATAGGCAGTGTATGGGCCGGGTTAAGAGGAGAGTCCACCATTCTATGTGTGCCCTCAAACTACGTCAGTTTGAAGAGGACACCTAATTACATATATCCTTCAGTTTTTTCGATGGACTGATAGCTATTTACAGAGTTAGCCAATGGTTTGTTATATGGTCTGATGAAAAAAGCTTTTAAGACAATAATTTATAATTAATCAATGTTAATGAATATTAATTAATACCACTCTGATGCCTTACACTTTTTTTTGCAAATTAATAGTTTAGTGGAAACGGTAAAGTAATACGTCATTCGAGAGAGATTTCCAAGCGTTACAAATCCCTGTATTTGGCTTTTCAAAATGTTGCCGATAAGCAGTTATTTACACTCGGTTTTAGGTAAACGGGGTTTCTGCTATGGATTTTTGTACAGAGCTGCCATAGATGTTTTTTGAATAACTCGAGAGTGAGAAGAAATAGAAAGTTCGGATTTTCAGCATTTTGTAGAGAAGGCTTTACTCTATCTTTACATATATTGTGCACGAAAAATCTCGGTTTTTCAGGTGGTGTACCTGACTGATGAAAAGCGATATGGTTTCCAGGTTCTGCACCTGCGGTGGATTTTTAATTGTAACATAGTGGCTAGATAGTCCAAAGTGGTCTCTACAATTCCGCGCACGGCCGATCTCTTCATATGTTGTGGTTCTCGAATGGCACATTTACCCGACGAAATGATAATGAATTACGGGTGACTCAGGAGCGCCATTCGAGAACCACAGTAGATAGAGAGGTCGACCTTGCGCAGAATTGTAGACACCACTTTGGACTATCTAGTCACTATGTTACAATTAAAACTTATTGACTGTGACAATAATTGCTGGCGATTGCGGAAGCCCTTGTTGCAAGGATACGGACTCCAAAACCTTGCCACGGATTTTGACTACGCAAAGCATATCTCATAAAAACTGTTGCAACAAAAGTTGTTCTCTATGAAATTCTACGTGGAATATGCGGAACAGTTTTTTTTCCAACGACAAAACCTTGAAAACATTGTTAATTGTAAACTTTTTAAATTTAAAATGTTTTAGTTTTCATTTAACTTCAGTTCAAATTTTTTAAAATTCCATTCCACTTACTGCATGCAGAATGGTATCAGCTACAACTTCGCCAGGGAAAAGAAATTCTTTGTTAGCGCACAATCGCTGGCAAGATTTTCAAAAATTACTTTTTATAGTTAAAAAAAAAGTAGAGAAAACACTCCTTTTACAATGTTTCACTTAAAAAATGTCGTTCGAAAACTTTTCAAACTTTATAAAGCATATTATATACAACCAAAGATTGTCTACAAAATAACTCTACCGCGACGTTGATTGGACATTCCAATGAAATATAATGAATTATTTTATAATATTATCGAAATCGAAAGTTTAATTAAAATTTAAACTTAATTAATTAATAACTCCGTGAACAGTTATCAGTTCATCGAGAAAACTGAAGGATGTATGTAATCAGGTGTCCTCTTCAAACTGACATAAGTTGAGGGCACATTTGTGGGAGCCCTAAATTTCGGGTGGGATCTCGAACGCTCGGTTCGTCATAAAATTGAAAATAATATTGAATTAACTGGCTGTTAATGGCCTATTTACGGTCAAAAGTATCTATAATCATGTATGTGAAAAACGGCGTAAAAACGGTCCGTTAACTGGTTGTTAACGGCCTGTTTACAGTTTAAAGAATATGTGTGTGTTTTTCGTTTTTCCTCCATCATATTTCACACTATGTAGATGCACTGGAATAAACTGTATGTATAGTACGTAAGCTTACAAGCTTGAATAGCACTTTGATAATGTTAGTTTTCGAACCGACATGGCCATATAGTTATAGTGACAGACTGGCAAACATAAGTTTTG